TTTGAAACTTTTTTTTTTTTTTTTTTTTGGTGTGGCTCTCTCTACATGATGTGCTGTTTGTTTTGCGCTCCGGAGGATTCTCCCTCCTCTGTGCTCTGGTATCAGAAAAGTGTCTGAATCTAAAGGTGACTTTGAAAGAATATATGATGCCGGATTGTTTTGTTTGCATAGTAATGAATGCAGATTAGCACCGGGCGGGACTGGCCTTGTTGACGTTCAGGCTTCTGGTGGCTAATAGACCTGTTGGTGGGCACCGCCGTGCCCCCGCCCCCCACCCACCACCCCCACATAATGTGGATGTGACAATCGATCTGATGAAATGAAACGATCCTTAAAACAAAGATTTCCATTCACGGATTGTGTCACTCGGTCAAAGGCAGGGCGAGGGTTGTGGCTGAATGACAAGTGGAAAAAGGGGAAAAGTGATCACCCAGTTCATTTCACAGTAGTATGAATCAATTTATTGGCTTTTGATTTACACGTTTGATCAACACCCTCCCTTTAGGTGTGCTACAGCATCTCGCAGTACAATATTTCCCATCAAAGTGAAGTCTGCGTTATGAATCGCTATTTGGTTGTCGTCAACATTTGACTGAAATAAGTCTAAGCTAATATTACGAGCCCCACATGCCTCAAACAGCGAGTAAGAAAGAAAGTAATAATGAATTGACAGGGGAAAAAAAAGATAGAAAAGATACAAATGAATTATTAGCATTGTGAGAATTGTGAGAGCCGCTAGCTGCTAACAACATTATGCTAACCTGTCAGCACTAAGCTAACAGGGCATTTACAAGTTTCTTTTAAAATCAGTCCAAACTCTGTATGATTTCTTCTAGTTCAAAATCTAAAATGCTCAGACCAAACTGTAAACTGAGCAGAGATTCTTGAAAACACTCTTTGCTTCCTACGAGACCTTTACACTTTCTGTGAAAGCACAAAGATACGTTTTGACATTCGGGCCACCTCAGAATCAGACAAACATTTTTATTTTTGGATTGAACTGAAATATTAAAAACTGATTACAGATTTAAAAAAAAAACAAAAAAAACAGCTTGCTCCTTCCAACCAAATATTGTGTAGCGGCTCATCTTACACACCTAGAAAGCATTCAAGCAATAACACCCAGTCTCTTAAGTGGGCAATTGCTTCTGTATGTTTTATTAGGGTTAAACTGCAGGAATATTCCACAATTTCTGTTCTGCACTGAATAACATAACAGACCCTTTATTGTATTTGTGAAAATAGAAAAGGGGAGCATTTTTAATGATTTCTAGGCACTAATTTTGTGGACCTTTTTTCCATAAGACGAGCTTAAAAACTGGGCTGGACTACTCTACAGTCATCTGAGATTCTTTACAATAGTGGTTTATTGCTTTAACAATTTATAGTTAAGCTTAAAATTATCCATAACCCTGGACAATTTAGGTTCAATATAATCTTTACATTTGACCACTGTTTCTTCAGATTAAACATTAATCAGATTAAACTCCTGACTTTAATCTGATTACCTCATCATGTAGTCACTGAACGTAAATCTTCAAAACACAAGTGAAAACCTTCAAAAGGCTGGTCAAGCATTCATCAAAATAGTTTGATTGCTGTCATGCAAGCAAACGATTACTTGAATGATCGAATGTTTCTGTGTTTCTGCACACCATTGGGGGAATGTGGCAGTATAGCGTCACTTTGAGTGGTCAGAATGGGTATAGGGAAGAGCTACGTTTTATGTGTCCGTTTGGTTGAATAAAAATGATTTCACATCTAAATCTGCAAGGGACATGTCTGATTTTCCGGCATAGCTATGTGTAGAGACCAATTTAATAAGAGGAATTGTTAGTTCCCAAAGATATCGCTCGGAATTTCATCTCGTTCTTGTGAGCCCAGTATTGTTAGCGTCTTATTGTTTTGTGAACTGGATGTATCGCCACACCCTTGGTTCTCCTAGATGCACCCATTTCCCTTTTTCTTCATTTCACGATGGCTCCTGCAGTCAATCTGGTCCACCTCGGAGGACAGGCCTGACTGTGTCGCCATAAACTGTGGCTCTTCTCCTCACAAGTTAGAGAGCGTCAGCGAGCTCCACTGCGGCACTCCCCCGTGCGCGGCACCTGATTTGTGGGGGGAATTTATCACACAAACAGCCCAGAGGTGATTTCAATATTTACTCGGCAGTCTGTTCTGCATACGTCTCATTTGGAAAACAGTTGACTCTTGCCCATTATACACAAATGAAGGCTGACCTTCAGGCTGGGCAGAGGCCACATTCATTATGTGAAGAAGTATCACCTTCTTATGAGGCGATGGCGTCCAGCCCCCCACCACCAACCCCTTCGTCTTGCTTTGCTTATGCATATGGAACAGCAAACCAGGGTCCATTGCAAACGAGAGGGCCCAGGCTGACATGATGTATACTGTACGTCAATATGGTACTGATGTATTTTAAGATGCAAACAAGGCTTTAAATTATATGCACCTCCATGTCAGCGGCTCAGAGTGACTCTCACCATCTGGGCTGCGGATGAGAAAAGAGGCCATCCAGGCTCCGGCTCGCATGTTTTTTTTTTTGTTTTGTTTTTTCCACTGTGTGTTTGCATCTATTAGAGCCACGTGTACGATTCCCACCTCTCCCACCCTGTACTCGCGTCTCCTCTCGAATGCATTGCTAATAGCTGCGTCGAGTCCCATCACTGAGACGTGACAGCTTAGCGATGATAAACGCCGACGCGGCTTTGTTCTGCGTCAAAAACGTAAGGCAAACCCGCATATCAACTACAAACAGCTCATGTAAAAGGAGGGCAGGTGATATACGGCGTTGTGTGTATGAGTTACAACAGTAATAGGTACACATCTTGTTTTCTTTTTTTTTTTTTTTTTTTTTTTTTTTGCTCTGCATCTTTGATTTCCTCGCCGGTGTTGGCAAGAAGAGTTGCAGGACTCTCCTGAGACTCACCGGGCCTGGAGGAGCTTTAACACTATATCAGTCCCTGCTGTTTGAAACCAGCCTCATGAATAAAGATTTGAGTCACGTTCGATACACCAGAACCCCGGAACTACCACAATGACACACCGGTGCTTTATGATCTCTGCAGTGTGCCAGGCATACGTGCGTCTATAATCCCGCTCTCTATATCAATCATGGCCGGTTCATTTTGATTGACGTCGGACAACCGTGTCACAATTTGCTATTCTGCAGCATATTTGGGGGGATCGCGGTGGAAATGTGAATGATTATTTAAAGTGTGATGTCAATATTCATTTAGTCTACTCAGGAGGAACAGCAGCCTTTGGCGTGAGCAGATGCATGCAAAATTCTCTGAGCTATTTGGCATTTTGTCAGAAATTTTTCAAGTGGTGTGCATGCAAACCGATGTGAGGTAATTGGTTTATGGGATTCTTCGAGCTGCGGTGGAATGGGCTGATTTTTCGTCGAGTTTTTTAACAAAAAAAAAAAAAAAAAAGAAGAAAAACTCTTGAAACTCTTGAGAAACTGTTTACCCAGAATGCTTATTTTCACGGCTAACGCTGAAGGGCGGCAAGTAGTGAGAAGAGACTGAAATATTGCCAAATTACGACAAATACTAAATACAGAAATGTAATGATCCTAATTACTTTGAGTTCAAGTAGAAAAACTGGTTTAAACTGCTGCTTAGACAGTAAAACACATTGAAAGTAATAATAACACTGTGCTTCTGGTTCTCCATCATTTTCTCTAGCATCTAATAAGAGAAAGTTAGCAAAAAAAAGGTAAAATATTTGGTAAAATATTTTTTGCTCTTAGCCTGCATTTGGCTGCCTAACAGACGTCCTGCTACTCATTCTAGTTTAGCAAAGTGTTACCTAAAAAAAATAGTGATAGTGGGGAGGATATAGTTACACAGCATTGCTATCTGGGGTTTTTTGTGACCAGAATTATTTTTATAACAGCTAAATTTGTCCTTTTTGTCAGCAAAAATAAATAAATAACCAGACCTTCTTTCAGCCAGCTGATAGGCATGCACAGCAGCACTGTTTCACTTTTACACTTCATACAACTAGAGAAATATGTAAGGGTTTTATTCTTGTATCTCATTAAAGGAACCAAAAGCCTTAAGCATGGGATGGAAACTTTTGAGGTTCTTGAAACTATGAGGAAATGGAAACTCCTCCAATGCCTCATCCCAAGGTTGATCTTTTTTTCCCAAAAGCAAACTTTGTCTGACCTTTTAAATGTGTACTTTTGCGTGAAAGCGCCATCATTTACTTTACTTGTGTTGTCTGTGTTTTATTTTTACATTTACACTAAATTCTTCACGGCATCGTTTCTCTTTTTTTTTTTTACCAGACCCCATTCTGAATGTCTTTTTAAAGGCTTCATGAAAAATTGCTCACTTAAAACTAAACTATCATGGAAAAAAAGAAAAAAAAAAGAAAAGAAAAATCCCCAAGTGCCTGCAACACTGTTCTTAGCTTGAGTTTATTTAAACATCAGCTATAAATATGTTGATTAGATCACTTGAACGCGGCTTAAGTTGTCATCAACAAGAATCATTGCCTGTGTTGCTTGAGCCTCTCCAGCTTTCTCTTCCCTCTCGTGTCAGACAGTGTTTTATACACAAACACAAGTCGCGCGCACGGAACGCGCTATTATCTCGACTGCATCGGCTCCTATCAGGGAACAAATACATCAGTACAGCGGCGACGACTGCTGGAGTCCTGGAAACATTCATAAAAATCATATGCCGCCAAATACACGCACACACACAGGGATCCATCTCATCAGCATGATAACCTGCTACGAAGATCTCCCCTGTCAGGAGATGAAACACCAATGCGGGCGTTTCGCAGGAGCTCGTTCAGCGCCGTTCGTGAAATAATTTAGCGTTCCTCCTCATTAAGGTTCGAGTAATGTTTCACGCGTTTGTCGTTTGGATTCGCCGTGGAAGGGGTCTCGCGGGCGCCCCTCGCAGACGGTGCGGCAGGTTCTGTAAAGCTCTCTTGTCTCGTCTGCCTCCTCTCTCCAGGCCTGACGGCGGCCGCGGCGGCAGCTGCCAACGCAGCCATCGCGGAGGCCATGAAGGTCAAGAAGATCAAGCTGGAGGCGATGAGCGGCTACCACGGCAACGCCAACCACCACGGGGCTGACGGAGAGAACGGAGACCTCGGCTCCGGCGTCGGTGAGGATGCCCTTTAAGCGCACACACGCACTGTCACAGACAAATCTGCACTCGCATTAACGGGATGACAGATGCATGCTGCAGAGCATTTCAATACAGTTGTACAGACACAAACACGTCCTAGCAAAAAGTAAAATACATATATGTTATCAAAATAGAAATCACTACCACTTGTTGCTTGTCTAAGAGTTACTGTACTATGAGAATAACGTTTCAGCTTGTTTTCAGCTTGCCATTTATTATTACTTTCTGTCCAAAAATAGTGGTTTACTGTAAAAGTTCTGTGAAATTGTACATATCTATCTACCTATCTTTACATGTTTGAAATCTTGAAAAAAAAAAAAATTGTTTCTGTTTTTTAAATCCACATGTAAAAAACACTATGGAGGACTTTTTCAGACTCTGCGACCTTTTATTTTATATTAGAGCAATAATAAATAGATGAAATTAAAACCTTAATTGCTATAAATAAAGGAAAGCACAAGGTAAATTGTAAAGCTCCACATCAAAACTTTTTTGTTGAATGATTTGTTGTCTGAGTTTCTGACAGTACAAGACCCTGTAGTTTATAACAAAACTACAGGGTAATTTTATTCCATTTGTTGGCACGCCACTTGTGTCTAGGTTTTAAACTAGATCCACAGTTATTTTAAACTGGGTCCATATTAGAAGACAAAACAAACCACTGATGTTGCTGTTTTTGGACATTCTCACCAACAAAATAAAGGTATTACATATGAGTTTAAAAATCTGTATTTGATCATCTTGATGAGATTTGAAGAAAAAAAAAAAAAAAAAAAAGATTTTATAGAGTTTGGAAAGGAGCCGATCTTAGTTTTTCAGATGCAAAAAGAAGTGAAATAGTCCTTTAAAACGTTACCAAAATAAGAGGCTCAACTTCAGCATAAAATGCACCAGTCAGTCTGGCAGCGATTGATCCAAATTGGCCCATTTCCCATTGATCGTCTTTCATCAGCAGGTGAAATCCTGACCAGCTTTTTCCTTTTGAGTTTTATCCCCTCACCCTCACCCTCCATCATTATTTGCATCAAGTGAAACTGCATCTTCTTTGATGTTTTGAGGTTTGCAAAAATCAGATAAAGTTTTGGGGACTTTGAATAGGAATAGATGTGAATAAATCTTTAAAGCCTGTTAGATTCAGAACTACTTCTATCAGAAACCCTTCAATATGTCTTTATTTCAATGGTCAACGTGCGGTACACTTGATTCTTAACTTAAAATATATTTCCACGTGTGACTTTATACATATCACAGTTCAACACAACGAGCAGAACAGACTTAATAGTAAAAATCTGAATAAAGCAGCAAGTGCGTCTCAAGAATGGAGAGATAATGTGTTGAACGACTGAAAACCTAGAAATGTGTGCAAGGAAAAGTAAGAATATTTTTTTTTGAAAATCTTTTATTTTAAATATGCTGAGAAGCAAGGAATGAAAAAAATAACAATAATCTCTGCTTGTGCTCTAACCTGAACCTTTAACTTCTTTCAGCGGTCAGGTTTCAGTCAGAATCCTGCAAAAGCCTAACTGGCCTCACTCATACAGCTCAACTTAAAACCATAGATTTGCATGGTTCATCCTGACTCCCCCCCCCGACCCCCCCGGCTGTTTTTTTTTTTTTTTTTTTTTTTTTTTTTTCATTTTTTTTTTTATTTTAAGTACCCGCATCATATATTGTTGGTCTGCGCG